TCTTATTTCCCACCCTGTCTGCCATCTTCCATATCCCCATGGGAGCTTCAGAGCGACCTTCTCGAGGTCTCCTCGACTCAATCTAGCACCCGAATGGCTTCAGTTGGGAAGCTCGTGGGTTCCAGGTCCACCGGTGTTTTTCAAGTGTCCGTAGTGATACCGAAGCGCAATCGGACATGAATCGAGGGGAATGAGGTGAATGAAAAGGAAGCATTAGATCAAATAAAACCTAAAGAGGATGTGTCAAATCAGCCACTCTTGTACGGAGGAGTGCAAATTGAAAAGAGTTACGAAGCATCAATGATAATTTTTGAACTGCACCCCAAGCTTTCATAAGATATCCTTGACTTTCCTTCTAGCATTGGGTACAATGAGCAGTTGTTTGGTCAGTACAACTTTTGTCGCCACAGACGGCAGCTAAATCAGCAAAGTACCCCCATGGCCTCTCTATTTTCGTCTTCGATATGATAGTGTTTGCATACAGGAAATCAAGTATATGAATGAACTGTATATTTCTATTCCACTCGTTCATGATTTTTGGACCGTCTTAGGTTTAGATCTGTACAGAAATCGGGTGAAAATATAGAGTTCCACGAGATTCTCTCGACATATGGAAACTGGGGCAGCTCGATCTACGAGTTAAGAACCTGTCCCGTTTTCCTCCGGTCTTTGGTCCAATAACGGGTGAAGAAGGGAATCACTTGCAGAATCAGGTCTACTGAAAATGCCAATGTGGAATTCTTAAATCCAGAACTGTGCTACTGCATGAAGATGCTCTCATGATCGAGAGCAAATTAGATAAAATTTCCAATCTAATACGGAGAATCCTGTGCTATCGGAAAACAGAAGGAAAACTAGGCCAGCAGAAGGATAATCTTATGCACAATTGAATCGACGCATTATCTCGAAGCAACTGTCCAAGCAAACCGAAACTAGCTATGTCTCTTTGTTCGGCGTTCTTACTGAACGCTTGTTGAAATCCCCAAAAATCGACAAAGGCAGGCTTGACAACACAACATACCTCCCGCCACAGGATCAAAGTCACACGTTCGCCTTTGTGCAGAAGCAATGAAACTGCTACAACTGGGTAGAAATAAGATTGTTGAACGTCGCTCCGATTCCGATTGGCTTGTTCAAGTCCACATTAAGGTTCTTCCTTGAGGGAGCAAAGTCTGCACTTCATCGAGACGATTAGCCCTGAGTCTTTGAAAATCTGAGGTGCCTGTTGGCTGCGATTGCGATGCACATATGAGATTTTTCCTGTTAGAATCTGGTGCGAGATGATGATGCGAGGATGTTGGTCCGATTCACCCTACACTCCGACTAATCATGAAGAGAGTGTAACGTAGTCCGCAGTTGTAACAGATAAACAAGCTTCAGATGTGCAGCAGAGGGAGTTCGAAGCCAAAGTCGGATCTTATCGTTATCATCTCATGAACGACAGTTGGCGTAGTAGGGGAGGGAGTGATTAGTTCGTCAAACACTCTCATTTTTTTTTGTGTAGCAACAAACTGCTACATTATGAAGTAGAAACCAATGGAATTGGTTTCATCCATATTTTCAAGTTGGTTATCAACACATTTTAGGGTGTTTGTTTTTACATTTGAGTCGATTTTTCTCAAATCCTATATTCTGATCGGCATTTTTTTGTAATATATCTTTTTTATGAATAGTATCCAATCTAAAGGAGAGATGGACTTTCCAGCAAGAGATAGTTTCTTCTTGAAATATCACGAGTATTCTCATTCTATGTTGGTTTTAATCTTTTAACAACTGAATAGTTGACCTGAACTAAAATAGACTTTTAAGTACCTGAACTGGTACTTGGATTCCTCCACTGAAGTAAATATACCACATCCGATACTCCGGTTTAAAGAGAATCAGAGTTACTGAAACTTTTGCAGATATTGTAGATCTAGAACTCTATTTACTAATTTTACAAAATCTAAAACCTTAATGACTGTTGGTAAACTTTAACTCTTGCCTCGTGATTCTTCGTCTGCTATTCTTCAGAAGGCTCAAGTTAGTGAACCTTTTGACTGGAGAGTCAGGTCCAAGGTGGCATAAGTCAAAGTCATGCCTCCTTATGCATGTCTTATCTTGATATGATCATATTTATGTAGATTCATTAAAATATTATAAAATTTTTAAAGAAATTTCTGTTGTCTATATAGGCAGCGTTTGATGATGTGAGTTCAGATCTTATGAGTTTGGTATGGTTTTGAAGTTGAAGATAACTATAACGGGCTAGGATGTGTATTAGTTGTAGTTCACTTTCTTTCATGGCGTCACTTAGAGCGACGCATGTTTTCTATGTCTAAAGTGTCATTGATCTCAAATTTATAATGGTTAATTTTTCTACTTTAAAAGATGCACATCGATCATTACAAAATAACCAAAGACATTCACAAGAGGAAATTACGAAATCAGGATACGTCACTCTTGCCTTAGACACAAGCTATTTTGATAGCTATTTTCTGGTGTTTGTGTTATACATAAGTTGTGGGATGATGAAAGTGGTGAGCATCACTGTCATATTAAATCTTGAAAGTATTTGAAACTAGAATTCCAAGTCTTCATTGTTAGAAATATTGTCTTGTAACACCTATGATCATAAAATATGAATTTTTTCTTATCATTTGATCGGATCGCACACGGTTTAAAACACTCAAGGACAGAATATCCGTAGATGAATTTCCATTATGCTCACTCTCTACATACTACATTGTGCTTTCTATGAGTGGACCATGTGATTTTATATTTTGCTTTGCATTTTATCATGGACAAAATTAAGGAGTTTTCTGCGTTGGTTTTTAGTAGATTAAATGAGTATTCAGTCACAAAGTTTCCAAAGGAATAGCCATAATCTCTAACAATAAATCTCAATGCGGAATGGATAATGGTTAGTTCAACTCTCAAATGAAATTCAATATCTTGAGAAATGAAAAAAAAAACCGCATACTATATCTAGTATCTATATGCAATTTGGCTTAGGTTCATACAAGATTTGACGAAAAAGTGAGGTTAGCTCTTAAGTTTTAATGAGAAACTAGATTTGATCATAACTACAAGTTGTGAGAAATAGAACCAAGAGTCTGAAAAGTAATACTTTGCAAGAATGTGCATGATGCAAGAGTCTAAAAATACAATTTTTTTTATCATTCTTGTGAAAACTGTTGAGGTCTTCATTTAAGTAAAAGTAGAGTGTAGATCATTCAAGATGGAGATATATAACATTGAGATAAGTTTTAATGAAATTTTGATTGATATCATGTTGAACTATTCGAGTGCTCTTTAGATTATAAATAAAGTATAAAGACGTGCACATCTTCAAATTTCGTTAAAGAACGCAGGAATCTAATTTAAGAATCGTGCTTCCACTGAGAGTTGAACTCAGGACCTCCCGCTTACTAAACGGGTGCTCTAGCCAACTGAGCTATAGAAGCAGATACATTAGTATAATCGTATATTAATTTCTCAAAACTCTATGAAGTCATGACAATGAACCGTCACAAAATTGATCTTTACCGGTCGAAACCAAGTATCTCTCTTCCAAAAATGAATAAGATAAAAGACAAATAATCTAAGAACTTCTCAATTACAGAGATTTTTGATCTCTTAGAGTGATCAATCTTATCTCTTCCCTAGTGTTACGGCATGGTTGTCAATGATGATCCTGTCTGCTATCACAAACTGGTAAAATAATAAATTGTTCTAGAATACATGATTTTCTATTTTTTTAAATATATTTTGCTTACTCCATAAGTTCGAAGAGTACAATTCCACGTGAGATTGGATTACCCTACAGCTCAAATCACATATCTCACATCATATATCAAAATTGTCAAGAGGGTCATGTATGTGAGTGAATTATAACCTTAAGAAACTCTTTGTTGGATCACGAACAATGATAGAGTACAATACATCAAGTACAATTTGTAACTATGATGATGTATCATAAGTAAATGTGATATATCATTGGTAATTGGAGCTTCGAATGTCATTTTCGGTGTGGAACATGGAGTCGAAGTTTATTGGCCAAATCAGACCATTCCATATACTTTAATACTTTTACTCTCAAAATTTCAACAGTAACCCAAAGGTTGGATCGAGGAGAAGAAGAGGAGACGTGGAAAAGTTAGGCTGAAAGTTGGAGAGTGTACTATGTGGCAGCGACAAGCAACCACAAGTAGGAGGAACGTTAAAAATAGATGGACGTCGATGGCCGAGCAAACTCCGACGTGGCATCAGTCTTGTCCTTTTAGAACAGCCGAGTACTCGGGTAGGTAAATTGGACCACCGGTTCATTTATCATTTTAAGAAGTTCTACATCGGTCGTCCGATACCACATCGTACGGAGACAAACGAGTTGAGAATCGCGAATTTCGAATGAATGAGGAGGTAATTCTCAAAGTTCATGACGCCGCAGGTCCCGGACCTTCTCAGGCACAGTACGATGCCTTCCACGGCGAGACCAGAACAAGGAACAAAAACACACAACTTTGGCCCCAGAAGCAAAAGACCGCAGGATGCATGATCCGACGGCAAAGAGTCCCTCAAACCTCGGTCCATCTGACCCCTTCCCTTCGTCATGACAGCATCAGGCACCGAAATGTCGGGCGACACGCGGGACTCGGGCTCGGATGCGGACCGAAGCCTCGCCCGCCAGAGGCCAAGTATACTGTTTCGGGACAGTGCGCTTCCCATTCGACCCGAAAAGAAAACAAACGAAGTCCTGCTTTCGGATGGATATGGATCGTCAGATGCCCTATCGAAAGGCGGAGATGGGCGATCCGGTCCAATTTTCGCCCGCGACGCCAGTGGATCCAGGGGGCAAGCGAGCGAGCACCCGGAGGAGAACAGCAGAATCCGACGAGGGGAAGGGCCGTGCCGAGCCTGAGGCGACGGGCGCCATAGCTAGAATGCATGCACAGGCTCCGCTAGGGTACGCCTCTTTGGATGCAGAGCGAGCTCCCAAGCATTTAACTTTTGTCTAGAGGGGGAGAAGAGGAGGACCAGACGAAGAGGAGTGCAGAGGGAGAGAGAGAGAGAGAGAGACGGAGAGCGTGGAGCTTCGAGGAGAAGCCCGTCCGATCTTGGGAAGGTCGAAGAGGAAATTGTAGCAGCGGAAGGCGAACAGCAGCAGCAGACATGTCTGCCCGGAAGGCCTTGGCCGCAGCTCTGCGGTCGGGATCGAGGAGAGTCGCTTCCGGGAACAGATCGAAGCCGGCAGGGAGCCGATCTTTCACCGATGCTGCAAATCAGGGCAGGGCTGCCAATCGGAGAGAGCTGATCAATGCGGTGAACAGAGGCTTGACCCGACCTTTGATGCTCAATCGCGCTCTCGGGGCTTGCAACAACAGGATTTACTCCACCGAGGTGTCCACAGATGCCGCGTTTACCGGTGCCGGAAGTGTTGGCGCTGTCTCCACTGTCATTGGAGCCGTTGTGGATGTTAAGTTCGAGAAGGGGCTTCCCCCAATTCTCACTGCGTTGGAGGTTCAGGATCACAATATCAGGCTTGTGCTCGAGGTTGCTCAGCATTTGGGAGAGAACACCGTCCGAACCATCGCTATGGACTCCACTGACGGTCTTGTACGTGGACAGAAGGTGCTCAACACCGGATCTCCCATCAAGGTGAGCAGATCAGTTCTCACTGTTTGCTGGCTTTGCTTGTGGTCCTTCCATCGAAATCTCACGGGACGTATTTTGTTGGAAGATTCTGGTTTTTTATGACCTAGCTTTAGTACCAGTACTGCTAACTGAGAGAGACTTTAAGGCCTTTACTTTCTACAAGAGAATGCATGCTGCAGTTCAACCACAGCCAGGGAACTGCTCATACTGCTCTTCGTAGTACAGACGAGAGACCACGGCTCTTCGTCTCTTTGCTATTGGATGCTATAGAAAAATGATGGACTGGAGAGTATGTGAAGCTTACGTATCGAAAGTAAGATATGGACTGAAGGTTTTGCTTGTTTGGTTTGTACAAATGTGTTTGTGGAACTGGCAGTTCATGCCAAATTTCGAGCCTGGACTGCCCTCGTGTTCGCTTCTTTTGAAATTTCATCTCTTCGTCTCGCCACCGTATCATGCTGTGTGGTGCATCAGTAGGTAGTATCCTCAGTCTAACCTGCGCTGACAATCGTCCGGATGCTTTGAATTTGGTCAGATTCCCGTTGGGAGGACCACTTTGGGACGTATTATGAACGTTATTGGTGAACCCATCGATCAGTGCGGAGAATTTGGTAAGTCGTCTTCCATTATCGTGTTTGTGGTCTCTAAGCCATCGTAAGATTATGGGCATTTCCTAGCGCATGGTCCTGATGCATGCATCAACTGCCTCCATCCTGTATGTTTTCTCCATACTTGTCATACTTTTTATATATATCATGCATGTTTCCATGACTTTCGAAAATCTTGAAGTTCAATTTGATCACGCTATGGTTGGCCTGCCCTTCAAAAGAGTTCAGTTTCTGGAATTCATGGAGAATTTGTTGAACTTTGAGTCAACGCTTGGATTGCATAGTTGATCACATATAGGACACTTAACGCTGACGAGCCGATGTTAGTATCAAACAATTATTAGTGTCTTTTTCTTTGTTTGGTTAAGAGTCTCTCTTCTACGAACGTTTTGGATGTATGTTCCCGAATCTGATCACACCTTGCCCTTGACTACAGATACATCACAGCTTCTCGCCATCCACAGAGAGGCACCTCCGTTCGTGGAACAGAGTGTCGACCAAGAAATTCTGGTCACTGGTATCAAGGTAATTGAGCTCTTAGAGAGTTTGTAAAATATATTTGAACTGTTTCTCCTTGATGCATCACCTCGATTTCTTGCGAAGCTTCACAGTTAGTAAGGATTACGTAACTTCCATCAGAAACTGTTCTGGAGACTTAAGGTGTTTTTGAACTTATTTCAAAGAATTTTTTTCTTAGAATTTTTTTCTTGTGTTGAATTTAGTACACATTTTGATTCCTCGACATGTTGATTGTCTGCATTGTGTTCAAAGTTGACAAAGGAAACGGAAATGTGTTGTAGGTTGTGGATCTTCTTGCTCCATACCAGCGTGGAGGCAAGATTGGTCTCTTCGGAGGAGCAGGAGTCGGAAAGACTGTGCTTATCATGGAACTGATCAACAACATTGCCAAGGCTCATGGTTTGTTGAATTCAAAAATTTGAATCGATTTTCACTTTTTAATTTGAGCATGTTTACGCTTGCATCTTTACTAGCAAGTTCGGTCGTTCATCACGGTTGCTGGACGTTTTCAGGTGGTTTCTCTGTGTTTGCTGGTGTCGGTGAGAGAACCCGTGAGGGTAACGATTTGTACAAGGAGATGATTGAGAGTGGTGTCATCAAGCTAGGCGACAAGCAGGTAAATTGTGAATAACTGATAAGCACACTGATTGGCCGATAAGCTTATTGACTGCCAGCTACAAACGTTGTCACATTTTCTAAATCCAAATTTGACGTTGGTCTACCTGCAGGCCGAGAGCAAGTGCGCGCTCGTGTACGGTCAGATGAACGAGCCCCCTGGTGCCCGTGCCCGTGTTGGACTTACTGGACTGACCGTTGCCGAGTACTTCCGTGATGTTGAAGGTCAAGATGTGCTGCTTTTCATCGACAACATTTTCCGTTTCACTCAGGTGAGGACCATTTTTGTGTTTGAAAATAATGAATATGAGACGTCTACAAACACGCGGGCGGCACTTAATTTGTCTGTGGTAGTGTTGTGTGCTCGGTGCACTATTTGTTTTATAACTCTTCTTACGGATTGTTTTGACAGGCCAACTCCGAGGTGTCTGCTTTGCTTGGACGTATCCCGTCAGCTGTGGGTTACCAGCCTACTTTGGCCACTGATTTGGGAGGTCTCCAAGAACGTATTACCACCACAAGGAAGGGTTCCATTACCTCAGTGCAGGCTATCTACGTGCCTGCTGACGATCTGACAGATCCTGCTCCCGCTACCACTTTCGCTCATCTTGACGCTACAACTGTCTTGTCCCGTGAAGTGAGTACTAATTTTTCGAGACGTTGCATAAAGGATTGTTTGTCTGTTATGCCCTTTTCCTTGACTTCATAGTAGGGAGAGTAACTTCAGTATTATACTTTGTTCCTTCTAAAACGTCACCCTCTATCAATTTCTTTGTTGAGTTGTTCATTTTCAGAGGATTTGTTGTCGCTCGTGGTCCATTTTCTGCATCTTTTGGCGAGCTCTTTTTGTGTCGCTAATGTGTATCATCTTTTCCTTCGCAGATTTCTGAGATAGGTATCTACCCTGCTGTGGATCCTCTCGGTTCAACCTCCCGAATGCTTTCTCCCCGTGTTTTGGGAGAGGACCACTACAAGACCGCCCGTAACGTTCAGGAAGTTTTGCAGAGTTACAAGAACTTGCAGGATATTATCGCTATTTTGGGTATGGACGAGCTCAGTGAGGATGATAAGATGACAGTCGCTCGTGCCCGTAAGATTCAGCGTTTCTTGAGTCAGCCCTTCCACGTCGCCGAGGTCTTCACCGGTTCACCTGGAAAGTACGTGGACATCAAAGAGAACATCGTCAGTTTCCAGGTAAGCTACATAATTACATACCCCAGCCACAAATGCACGTGATTTTTTTCTGTTGTGTTCGTGTTTTCCTGACAAGTTCCTGTCCGGTGACGGGGTATTCGCGCCTTTGTGCTAGAGAAAAGAGTAAACTTTGCAACCTACTCATCACAAACTATCCCTTTTCCGACGCAGGGTATCTTGTCAGGAAAGTATGATGACCTGTCGGAGCAGTCCTTCTACATGGTTGGAGGTATTGAAGAGGTCGCCGAGAAGGCCGAACGATTGGCAAAGGAAGCCGCAGGAGGAAACTAGAAACTTTACTCATCTTTCCAAACACTCCCCTCAACAGAAATCAGACTTGAGGACTTGTAAAAGGTCATTGATATATAGAAAGCTTCTAGCAGGTTTGTACAAAGGGAATTCCCAGGGGCAAGTTTTGCATACCACAATTGTTGCCATCGATTCAAATAGCTTTAGGCACCTGCCGAGAGTTTCAGCATGAGGCTGTTGCCCTGGAATCCTTTTCTCTGCTTCTAGTTTTCCCTTGTTTACCATGGGAATAATACGTGGTCGGTTTTAAATACTGATTACTCCTGGGTTCGCCTTCGTGACCTCGACATTGATTGTAGCCCGCCCTGGATCAATCCAGGGTGGCAAGCAGATCTTGAACTGAATTTTTGATAATCGTCGTATCAATGGACTTGATGTGTACGCTTTCCAACTCAAACTGGTCCCGACTTGTGCCCTACGTGGCTTTTTACGTCGACTCATTCGTAGCGAGCATCGATCTGCAATTTGATGAGTAAAAAATGGTCAATTCAACTGACTCCACTTACGAGTCGATGTTCGGCATGTTGCAGCCTTCGTTTCCACGTGCAGTGCAGTCATAGTTGGTAGCTGCTTACGATTAGTCTTGTTTATAGCCAGAAACAGTGTCGGTATTGTTTCAGAAAGAGTAGCAACGCAATGTTTATGAGCTGGTTCGCGCATGGCTACAGGATTGTGCCCTTTACGTTTGTGTATCTTGGTAGCCCTGCTGGCTTGTGTTAATGACGAAGGCCGCCATCCAGGCGAGAGTTGTTTTTGGGTTTTGTCTGGGTTGAGGCCCATTTCACTTTGGCTTATCGTGGCATGGATGATGAAGTCTGTAGGACTTGTACTCATAGAGTCTGGGGTTTTACTCGGCTAAACGTTGTCACCTGAATAAAGCGACATGCTTTTAGCCATGAACGGCAATATTTGTCTAGTTAAATATGGTGGTAGATAGTTCGGGTTGGATATCAAATCCAGGAGGCTGGACACGTAATAATTATCTGTTTACATGTGCATGACGTCTAGTAATCGAGAGCAGTACTTGAAAGGACGCTTGCAACCACCCACGTGGTTTGTCGATATTTTTGTTCCGTGTACAAAGAGAATAGGTCTTACGGTGGTGGGGATGGTGTATATAATGACCAAAATAATAATTCATACTCCTGGTGAAATTACCTTCCATGCATACAACTCCAAGATCGCGCAGTTCATTAAACAAGACTGTTTTGTTGCCAAAGATTGGAAAGTAAAACATCTTGTAAAATTGGTGTGAAACTATTGTAGTTTTTCAAAATTGATGTAAAACAACAGCAATAAAATATTAATTTGTAAATATATGACTGTTGATAAGTGTAATATATAATTGTCAAGTATATTTCGAGTGTGGTGTTTCGTCGTGTGAGAAAAGTCTACTTTGTTCAAATGTGTATTTATAGTGAAAATTGAATTATAAATTTCTTCGAACATTGAAGTGAAATAATAATTCAACTTCCCTGTTATAAATAAATATATACTTAAAAATATAATCTCAAAGAAATCTTAAATTTACAATCTATATTATATACTTATATATATAAATAGGAAATATATAAAAATAATTATAAAGTTATCACTTTCAATCATCATTATAAATTCCAAATGTAATAAGAAATAAAAGGTTCATATATTGTTAATCAAAATTAAGTAATGAACAGGTAAATGATCATAAAAGTAAATGTGTAATTTACGTTTTTTATCATTATAATAATCATATAATATATATTAGAATGAATTTTTTTATTTATTATATTATCAGAAAAATTTATTTTATTAATTTATTGCATATTGATATTTACATGTACTCAAAACTTTTATTTTTCTTAATTGTTTCAAAAAATAAAATTAGATATATTAAAGTGAAATAAATAATAAATTAGTGTTTTTTACTTTCAAATTTTTCATAATGAAAATTTTTAATATTTGTAAAATATTTTTATAAATAAAAATTTATATACAAAAATTTACTACTGCGAATTATAACATTGAAATTACAACTACTGCTTCATTTTATATACGACTTTCTTAAATTTTTTAAAAATGTATCATAAATTGAGAGTTTACGAACTTATAACATACGTGATGTATTGTATATATTTAAATAAAAATATTAGAATATCATAGTTAGAAAAAATATAGAAATATTCTGTTTTACAGATTTTGATTTTTTTTTTCAAAAAGTACTAGAACAATTAAATTCGTTTTCCTTGACAACCCTCCGAGGTTGACTTGAAAGATTCCCATTAGGAACAGCAAGTCTTTCTCGATTCGGGAATGTTTGCTTCTCGAGTCTACAATGGCGAAGATGCTCTAAAGCTCCAGAATACAAACGTAAATCCCGGAATCATGCAAAACGGGAGGACAAAGATATCCTCGGGTTATTTTGTGTGAAGAATTCGGTCTATTTAAGGGGCACAACTTTCCGCTGAGATACCTGGAGAGACCTTTGTCTTTGAACGACATCACAACGAGCTTCATCTAGAAGAAAGGACAGGGTCATCTTATCCTTTTTGCTATATATTTTCCCCAAGTTATATGGAGTATTTTTTCACTTTCGCCCGCAGAATGTTATTAGGATGATGAGGGAGAAATTAGTGTAAAAATAAAATAAAAAAGAAAAACCTTACACTTCAAGGCAATATAGTACGTTTCACATTATTTTGCTCTTGAATCGATATATGTGCAGTCAGATACTGTATCCTATTGCAGTCTTATACATAGTTGGTAGCATGTTTAACTGTTTCAGTATTTATAAAATCGTCTGAAATGTCAGTGTCCTTATTATTGAACTTTTACTCCAACCCTTCAGAAACTCTTACTTCAACAAACAGATCGGCATGTTGTAGGGTCTAGGTGACTACAGAGAAAATCTGTCTAAAGCAATCCTCCCTAATTCAATATTATCGGCTGGTCCCGACATAGTGTCCATCCTCAATCCAATAATCCTCAGTAATTCAATATTCAATTCTTTTTTTTGGTCTAAAAAATTTCGCAATTCAATACGGTATACTGTATACCCAAAAAAAAAGTACAAAAATGTCTTCAAACACATTTCAAGAATCCCTAAGCTGGCTGAAAAAAATCCTTGATGCCCTTCTGGACCATTTGGCGGCCTCTGAGCATGTTGACCTTGTCTCCCCGCCTTTCTTCGACATGATGGTTTTTGGGTATAGTATTCGCAATCGCAAGACCTTGAGGATTCTCGGGGCTCTAGGATTACTGTATCTGGATCATGATCCGATCTAGAGTTACCTCTACGCGTCCCGAAGATAAACTATCTACATCTTTTATCTGTTTGGAACTTGCCTCGTTCAGTGCCGTCCCGAGTTGTACCCTACCCAAATGCGGCTGCTATGGTGATCAATTCAATTGATTTAAAGGGCCCTGTCTTATCAATAACTACGCCCCGGTCCCAGCAATATTGTTTTAGATGGGTTTTACTATGTCAATAACACACCTCCGGATGCAAAACACATACGACTAAGGCCTTGCTATCTGCAAGTTCAGATCGAATCAGAAGAGAACTTGATATCACTATCAATGATTAAGTGAATTGAGATCAATTATGTTTTCAGGATTGAGAACTTTTGACCATGAAACATGACTAGGTTTTGATGTGCGATTGTTTGGGAGTTAGAACAACAATGGGGTTCATTGGATTGTGCATTTGCACCAGAAACTATCGGGGTTCATAAGAAGAGGATTTAACACATCTACTTTGAATAGGATATCCAGAAAACTGCAATCACCTATGAGTTGTCATAATAGATATCCCATAATTTCTGAAAAGAAACCATAGAACACGTACGTTAGGATAGTGAGGGAGACTGCATATGAGAAGGATAATGACTGTCTACTGGCTTTGAAGAGCAATTTATATCAGATACAGCGCATTGACTCTTTGAGAAGGTATAATAGAAATTTACAATAAGATCAACAACACAACTCTTTTGTACCAAAGATCCGGTTATTATTGGCTGTGTACAACTTTGTTGGAATCGAATCTTTCGGTTCCAAAAATCGGCCTCGAACAGAAAACTTGCACTCTAAAGCAGCTTCTTCAAGCTGCGAAGAATTATTCACATGCACGCCTGGCTAGCTGCCATCAGAATGTACATCCTCTATTTCCCGACCTCACCATGGGTTCACTGTGCGGCAGTTTCTGCGATCCTGGCCTTCCGCTCTCACTCCCACAGCACCCATTGCGCGCATAGCTTTGCCGAATTGATGGTCGAACCGACGCTCGCTCTTCAGCTTTTTCACCAAGTTTCTAGTGCGCCTATCGTCGAACAGAGACTGATCGGACGTGAACAGTCCTTTGTGCTCTGAAAGCACCTTGTAATAATTGGCATCGAATTCACCGGGCGTGATGGTGTCCATGAAGATCTCGAGAGTGGTGTTGAAGGTTGCCTGCGAGCAGTCATTCTTCAACTGCTGCGCGTAAGAAGCATTGATCGAAGGATCGTGAAATGAGTTGCACTGAAGTTGTAGAGGCGCTCGATGAATTTGTCGCAATGCGCGACTCATACCGTGTGAGATCCTGAAGAAAGCTCGTACAGAGACAAGAAGTTATATCTCATGGTGAGATCAATTATATCAATATATTATGAAAGCCTAAATTTTCAGAGATTACTATTTGCGTAGAGAAATTTAACAATTGTGTGTCAGGCTGGAAGCGGACCTGAGAGAATGACCATCTGCTTCTTGGATAGTCCCCTCATGGCAAAAGACTCAGATGAGCTGAGAAACGTTGAATGTTGGCAATGGAAGTTCGTTTTCTGCAGCTTCAGCACAAGAGAAGACGCCGTCTTTCCTCCCTCCTTGAACGGCCCAGCCTGTACCATTGAGCTGACTGCCTGTAGGTTCGCAGAAACTGCCGCACAGTGAACCCATGGTGAGGTCGGGATGTACATTCTGATGGCAGCTAGCCAGGTGTGTATGTGAATAATTCTTCGCAGCTTGAAGGAGCTGCTTTAGAGTGCAAATCTGAGTCAGAGTCAGATTTTTGGAACCAAAAGTTTCAATTTCAATAAAATTGTACACAGTCTGCAATGGCCATTTCTGTCCTGCCTCATTCCTTCAATCCAAAATTAAGCTTTCCAAGATTTCTTTTTTGCCAGATTGAGAGCAAGAACAATATCATACTCATAAAATAAAACTGTGATGGATGTATGGCAAGCTTTCGCATGTGAGGTACCTCATTGAGTTTGAAGAGTCATGATGTTAGATCTTTTGTTTAGGTCAGCTAAGCTCTCGTTTGAAAGACAAAACTACATTTACTGCAGCATATGTAGTCTTTGTCTTTGATACTACATCTGCTGCTTCTAATCTTCATCCTTAATGTTATATATAACTTCGGATTACTTTATAAATCTATCCATGACATCCAACTTCCAATAATAAAAAAAAAAATTCAACTAACTCCCATCTCACATCCTATAGTACCAATTCATTTAAGTTTATTGAATGTATTTTGAGATTCTTGCACTAAAAAGTTTCCATTTCTTCTCATATCAAAGCAATGTTATCATCATACTCTGTATCAATGTCATGATATTCAAAAATAGATAAATCAACCCATACACCATACCTAACATTAGTTCTATTAATCTTATTCGATAATCTCATAGTATAAGATTTTGGTTGATCTATGTTATATGGTGCAAATACGTTAGGCTCATCAATGATAATCTGCTCCTTTAGTTATGGTTTCTCAAGAATTTATTCCACATGTAGTGGTGCTCCTCCTTGTGTCAAATCATTAATCACATATTTATCAAAATTTCCACTCAACAACATTAATGAGGATATATTTTACCTTGTCAGAATGAGTAGACTGAAAAATCTCCTACTCTTTCAATGATCTGGCCTCATCAAAAGTAACATCTTTGCTGACAATAAGCTTACATGCTATCGGATCCGATAGCCTGTGATATTTCACATCACTAGCATATCCAAGAAAATGACTTTGTGGATGTAGGATCTAACTTAATACTACTTTGTTTGGGTATGAGAGTATAAGCATTATGACAAAAAATTCTCAAAAAACTGTAATTAGTCATATATTTGTGATTCCAATTCAAACGGTGTTAATAAATTAATTTCACTAAAAGTAAATATGTTTATTAAATGAACTGCAGTGTTAATAGCTTCGGATCAAAATTCACATGATAAATCCAATTGGTTCAACATACTCCATAATTTCTCCAACATTGTTTGATTGCAACTCTCAGAACAACATTACGTTGCGGAGTATAAATAGTTGTGTGATGATTAGTAATCCTACCTGTTTGCAGTAAATCTGAAAATTCTCAAAAGTATGCTTTTCGTCATTATCCCTATGCAAAAGCTCATTCTATGTTCAGTCTGAATCTCAACTTGGACCCGCCAACTTTTGAAAATTGGAAACACTTCATATTTGTGTGTGAGTAAATAAACCCACACATACATTAAGTAATTTTCAATATATGATACTTAATACAACTTTTGAGAGAGTGAAGCAATAGAAGAGAGTACCCACAAATCACTATGTGTATATTCAAAAAATTCCTTGGAACTGTGAGTTTCAACACCAAAGTCTTGCATGTGCTGCTGCTTGACCATGATACAATGTTCACAAAAAGCCAAATCAGCTTTATTCAAACTAGGTAACAACTTTCTCTCTTCACGGAGGATCATGTACTTTACACTTATGTGTCTTAGCCTAGAATGCCATACATGACACATTTGAGATGTGTCATGTGTCAAGCCTCTCTAAGTACGGAACATTCCGTATGTTCCGTTTTTCTTTAAAATACGGAGCGCTGCAGGAATAAAATAAGGAATATACGGCATTTTCTTGGATTTGGGAAGATATCATTGTTGGTTGTTTAGCAGAGAACAAATCTGGCGGCAATGTAATATCCCTTCAAGAGAAAAAGGTGTCAGATTGGATCGATGAATGTCTTTTTCCCATTTTAAAATGAAAAAATTGCTCTCAACAGTAACGGTAGTAGGAAAAGGAGTTATTAACTTCCCACAAAATTCCATCAACTTAGGAAATTGGTCCTTAATGGCTGCGGTTTTCCAAGCATCACTGAAATCGGTTTGCTCATTGTGATGGCTGAAAGCAGTTTGAAGTCTTGGCTCTTTGTTGACAACATTCAAAAGCTTTTTGTGCTGATCCACAATCAAGTCAATGGAGCTTTGAGACCCAGAGGTCGACAGTCGATAGTGGTATTTCAGCACTAACTCAACGACGTCACGTGTCTTCAAGGCAAGCAGCTGGTGGGGTAAACAAGGAGGAATGCCATCGGTACTGGCATCGTTCACTTCGTCCCGTAAAGCTTCCACAGAACTTAGTCCGTTGACGATTGACAGCAGGATTTTCTTCAACAGCCTGCAAAACTTTGGTGCATTCTTCTGGCTCTAACTCAGCAAGAGTTTGACTGGCAAAGATGACTTGATCTTGAATGAATCCTGTTTGGTCTGCATGGCTCACATGTCTCTCCCCCATAATGACGACATCATGAGCAGGAGGCATGATGTCATCCGGAATCACTTCGACGAAAGCAAAACGTTGTAAGGAATTCAGCAATGATTGAATAGCCGCCGCTTGCTGCTGCAAGGTGACCGGGCGGCCTTGCAAGCCTTCGACACATTCACTAACGTGGCTCAAAATCTCGGTAACAACCAAAATCAAGATCCAGAAAGCCGGAGTTGGAAGCTGGTCCTAAGGGTCGGGCAAGTCAATTTCAGCAAAGTAAGTTGCAATTTCCGCTTGTTTTTCAACCAGATTCCAACGACTCGCGACATTAAACCCCATCGAGTTGCAGATAGATTCGGACAGATGGCATGCATATCCTCAACGAAGTTCTTCTATCGCCGCAAGAACGATATTATGGAAGTTATTGTCTTGTGGAAATCGCACCCGGCATTCTTGTACACTTTCTGCATAACAATATCAATCTGATGCACAAGACACCAAACTCGGGTAAAGTTAGGCTTCACAACATTTTGAATCCGAATGACAACTCCGGAAAGACGTCCGGTCATGTTGGCAGCACCGTCCGTCGAGCAACCCATCAACTTGTTCTTCCAGAGACCACAGATGGCATCAAATAGCTTTTCAAACATCTCGAAAGTTGCTAAGCCAGTATGTCGGCCAACAAATGGGAGAGTGACCAAGTGAAGATTCTCCAGACCAGAGCTTTGATAATATCGAACGCGAACATCGACCCAAGAAGTCTGCTGCAGGTCGGTGGAAGCATCAAAAGCCACAGAAAATGCCCATTTACTGCTCAAAGCTTGTGAAATGTGCCCGATCAAAATTGCACAAGCAACTCTAGCGTAGGAAACAACCAGGAAATCATTGCAAACGCCGAGTTTCGGAATGTCACAAACATCCTTTGCATCATGAATTGCATCAGCAGCCATCGCAAACGACATATCACGCCCAACAAAACGAGTTGCTAACAAGAACTGCTTGGACTTGTTGATTTCTACGAGATATCCGCTGCCGTCTTCATTCGGTTTAAATAGAAACATTGCGTTTGCACGTGTCTGCCCTTCCATATCCGTTGGAAGCCAAAGCATATCGCCAATCACAACGTCAACAATGCTGCTTCTGACGCTTAACGTGATGGCTGCAGATATAAGGGCAAATTGTTTCAGCGTGCTTGACAGTTACATCAAAATATTTTGATTTCTCTTGCGGTGCCAGTCCTTGGTATTCAACCCATCTAGATTTGTGGTTCAGGTGAAGATGCTGCGTATGATTGTCGGTTTGAAATGGAGGCCCTTCGAATGTCCAGGTCGTTGAGGACTTCTTAGAAGATCCTTCGCGACCAAAACATACACAGAACTGGCAGCGGACAGCGGACAGCAACAACTTCGGAAGTTGTCGGGTGTGGGAAGCTAAGATTGCTGCCCATGCCACATTAACTAGATTTTGCCATTCTACTAAGTTTACACTACCTCTTTGCTAGAGAAAGGTGATGGAAAAAGGAGAGTGTAGGTAAATTAGAAAACTATGTGAGAAGTAGGTTTGATAAAATCGTAATAACAGTAGCTGGAAAATTAGTTGAACATAGACCTGGTATCTAGATTTTCTGATTTACGTCCAAGAAGAAGAATGTGTTTGGTAGATTAGATCCGAACCTTCTAAGTTTAGATCTAGGTATACTAGAAGGCTTGGATAGGGTTTTGTAAGGCTTGGATAGGGATTTTTAGGTGAAGTACGACATGCTGCTGACAGCAGAAAGCGGTGAGCACGTATTCGTCACCTGCAAAGTTCTCGGCAAGTGATATTTCGGAATTTTTGATGGCAGCTAGGGTTTCAAAGATAGTCAAGCCGTCGCAGTTAGGTTTAGAGTTTTAGTATTTAAACCCTCTTGGGGATTTTGTATGGGACTCTTCTTTCGCTTCTTATGCAACCTGGTTCTGTTTAAGCAATTCTTCTGTTTTCTGCATACAACGTCAGGCTTGTTGTCTTGCCGGTTCTGCGAGTGCTGCAAGTCCACATCCGTAAGTTGATGGAAGGAAGTCCTGTATTCAATTCTAGAGAAAGATTGATGATGAATATGTTCTAGTGTGTAGTGGGAGGGTCTCCTCATTGTCGTGTTTACTTATATAACGTTTGTGTGAGATAGCCGTTGCTAGGACTGGGTAGTATCCGGTGGGGTGCTCCTGGTAGGAGAACTCCGGATATAGGTCAATTCGACCTTCTGATGAGGTCCCACAATACCTGGACGAGGTAGTTCAGGAGATGGCACGTGGCTCTCACTTATCCTATACTGTTCAATCCCCCCTCTGAGTCTAGATCTGGATATCGTTGTAGTCCTTGGTTGGAGTTCGTGGGGATCTTTTGCGTGACCTGCTGATTTGGAGC